TCCCCAGTTACGAATAACCCTGATGTACTCCACAGTATAGATTAGGAGGAAGAGATTGGGTACCATGAATGGATAAAAATTGCTGACGGTTAGACAGGTAATTTCTGATCCATTACAAGGCCACTCCTCAAATTCCGTAATATTCTACTTTAAACAAAAGTTTATCATGATCAACTGTATCAAAGGCCTTGGATGAGAAGCGTAGGTCTGAACTTATGCAGTATAGCTTCGTGTCAGACACCACTATGCTTTGTGCATCCCCTTTCAATCCTAACAACCGTCAATCTTCCAGATCATAATCCAACCCGCACATAGTGTAAGGAATTAGGGTTAATAGGGAACATTCAAAAAGCTTCCATTTGTTAATTCATATTTCACACTTCCATGAGCCAAATAGTGAATAAGGACTGATCAAGATACAATACAAAGTAGTTAACTCCAGGATGAATAAGACAAAATATCTTATTGATACAAATCAATTCAAATCCATCTTATAACCGCAAGACAAGTGTAACTTAAGAACTAATTGAAAACCATAGATTTCTTACATCTAAGCCAATCATGACGACCTTTCAACAGCCGTGATAACTGACAAATCATAACCCCAAATTGTTATCAGAATCATAAACATACCCGTCTTTTGCACTTTCCGATTTTCATCTACCATGTCGCTTAAATAAGCGATCGGGGATACCACCATCGGCCACAACAGTGGCACCTCCTGCCCGCAGGCTATGAACTCCGAAATGTGAAACATCATCCACAAAAGGTTTAATGGCATCCAAAATCAGTTCTCTTGCTCTGCTGTACGACAGCAGCAGCAATATAAGATTTCAGCATTTCTACCAGACAATATGGCGAATGCCAACAATGCGTTGCCAACAAGTACCGATCTACAACTTCTGTACGTCGGTTATCCTAGATAGTAGAAACAATTTCAAGCCAGTTGAGGTGAAAACTACATGCTCCAGCTTCACTTGAGATAACTTGTTAAAACGCAAAAAAACAGCGTATGCCACTAAACACACTGTGACCATTCTTACATTCAATAAATTAGCCACATTATGACCATTAGGCCCGATATATTTGTCGACCATCTGCTTGAGGATGTCTATAGACATGGGCTCCTTTTTTATAACTGGTTTAGCAAGAGACCTTTTAATACCCTCGGCAGTAAACAAAACTAGGGATGATGAAATATCATTTACTCCAGCTAGTTTGTGAGCCCAAGAAATAGCTGCCACTGCCTTGGTGATGGGAGCAGGCGATTTCGGAAATTTACTCAAATGAACTAAATAAAGAGCAAAATGAAACGGATTAGCTGGAACTGAGGGCTTACTATACTTAGTTGCCCAATCAACCCATCTCCTAAGCGCTCTGGCATAAGCACCCACCATGGAGCTGGCCCTTGCATTTAACATGACTGCAGGGAGTTGTAACGCTAGTTCCCCTAACTCCAGACTACTCCCTGGTTGCCTTCGATCCCAGATTCCTTTGCTGAATATAACCTGGCTTGAGCTCAGAGTTGAATGCTATTAGCAAGGATCAAGTACGTAAGAGTGTTTTAACACCAAATAATTCAACCTTATAAATTCTTCACTACCGCCTCTACCTGGGATAAACAATCCCGGATATGTTGCCATTTCATAAATATCCTCCACTGCTCTAGTTGGATTATAACCATCTGGAAAGAGCAGGGGCCAAAAAGGTGCCGAGTACCAGCATGGACATATCAAGGTACCAACTGACTTGGTATCTGCCATGTGCAGTAGCACTCGAGGAATTAATGATATTGGGGGAACAAGCCAATTGTTCTCGTTACTCCAATCTCGAGTACAAGCATCTATAGCTTCAGTACCCGGGTTCCAAAATCTGGAATTCAAACGCTGTAACTTTGTCTATAGAATGAGGTCCCCATAAACCATCGAAATATTTGAACACTTCGTCAGAAATGCTCCAATCATCATTGTCTATAATTCAACTGAGTTTGTCTGCCTTTTCATTCTCTGAACAGGGGACCCACTCCATGTCAAGCTGAATATTATATTCCAAACACGTCTTGCAAATGGCCAAAGCCAACTCTTGTAACTCGCTCTTCATATTACCACATACTGCAATCTTCTCTACTGCTTGGTTATTGGTAAACCATTTAGTCCTTCGCCAGGACAGCTTGGGGGCCAACGCCTTCAGTGCTAACTCACCAGCTTTGAGCTCTCTCTACGTACTACTCTGAGCTTCATTCTTGTTCCACAAACCGTGAGACACTGTCTTGGCCATGTCAACTACATAACCACCGAAACCTGAACCACTGGCATCTGAAAATACAATCCTCGAGCAATCTGCACAAGGCCCTACAACAAAACCTTCGACATTTTTCTTCAAGAATTTTAACTCGTCTATGGCTTCAAAAGATAGGGATACTGTCCCTGCCCAGGAACTTCTGGATTCTATACACACATGGAGAGCTTTGGTCATAACCCTGGCAATGTTACCTGTAAATAGGCTGGTTGACATGACTTTTCCTACAATACTGGCCAACATTCGTGCATTGATACAAACCGGCGATCGTTTTCCGGACAGTATACTATCTATTGTGTTAACTATATCTGAAATCCGCCTCCCTGGGATCGATATATAACCATCCGAAAGATCGATATCGTATCCTAACCACTCAATCTTTGAAACTGGTAACCCTATACTTTTTTACACATTTGGTACAAAACCCGAAGCTATAATATCTTCCTTTACTTGGGAGCTAAGCTTTAACGCCTCTGAATGTGCATTAGCAAATCCGAGCCCGTCATCCAAGAAAACTACAATGAACTTATCCTCGCTTCTCCATTTCTTCACAAGAGGCCTAACTACATGTAACTTCGTAATATACATGGAGCAGATGAGAGACCGAATGGAAGCTGCTTGAATCTGAAAAATTCAAAAGAGCCGTTGAACACCCACGCAAATCCTAAGTATTCTCTATGTGCCTGGCACATATCTACATGATGATATCCTGACTTGAGATCAAACTTGTACACATAGCCTCCTTTTTTTGAGGAAAACCATCGCTGTGCGCATATCTTCATACTTAACCGAAATCTTTCAAAGATGTTCGTTAAAGGCTAACCTTAAATCCAAGATAAGGTGCTTCTTACCGTTGTTTTGTTCTGAAACCGTGAGTGGATTAACTACTTTAGGTGGATTTTATATCTTTTTACAGTACCGAGATGAAGTAATTCCGTAATGGCTTGCTGTACAAATTCTGCATGAGATAAAGCAGATTTATCATTTTGTGAAAACATTCTGGCCGGCTGCGTAATAAATGGGATCACGTAACCAATTTTTATAGTGTAGAGAATGAAATCTGGTACCAAAATGCTCGGCCAAAAACAGAAATAGTTTGCCAATCTGCCTGCTACTTTAATAGGAAGTACTCCCTGTTTTCTTCGTATTCACAAAAATTATCTACGTAAAGAAACTGGCCATCTATACTTTCAAGCATACATACATCATTCAACTTAACTTCATTGTGAAGCACTGGAGGCGGAGGTTGCACTAGCTCTGCACTTTGGGCAAGTGGCTTTCCAGTGGTTAAAACTGCCGCATATGAAGCAGGCTCCTCTCCCTGTGTAGGATCGAGTGGCACTTTGGTTGAATGGTGAAAGTGAGCTTGCTCGGCGAAAAAGATGACTGCTACCACCAGTGCCGTAACCGGCCAAAAGCTGATCCCCCTTGAACCTTTTGGCTTGACTGGAAGCCACCATCTCCTTCTGCTTGACTTTCCGCCCGGCCTGGTTTTCTGCTCTCGTGATCTTGTTGTCATCACTCTCATCATCGGCCGCGACTGACCATGAATGACACACCCGTGGATCACACCATTCACCCAGCTACACCCTTACATAACACCTAACCATACCCATAGAAATCCATGCACCGTGAAGGAAATAAATATGTTCTAATTCACACCTGGTCGTTCAAACGAATATATATNCAAAGAAATACACATCAACCCCATGTCCAGCTCTAAACTTCTTTTGATCAAAGTCTTTCCCTGGACTAAGGCCATGGTGTTGCCTACATTTCATACAGGGAAAATGCAGATTTCCACTGTGAAAACGGGATTTACTAACATTTTGCCTCATTGGAGGATTTCTTCATCTGGAAACTAGAGTGGAAAAAATAATGAATTACGCGAAACTTTTCTAAAATCAATATAAAATACCTGAATCCCTTATACCGGCCAGGGATTACATTGAATACGATGTCATTGGTCTTTTCAATCGGGGGGGGGTGAACCCCTGAAAACCTGGGGCATGGGGTTCTTCAGGGTCCAACAACCCCTGAAATGAAAGCGCGGTGTTTTTACCCCAGTGAAATTATGAGAGCGAAATTAGAGGGTCATTATAAAAAAAACCCTGTTTTCATTTAACTACATGTACTTCCCTAAATCGAAATAATACACATCAATCTCACGTCCAGCTCTAAACTTCTTTTGATCAAAGTCTTTCCCTGGATTTCAAAATGGACGTCATATTGGTCCTACTTATGCCTATAACTTCTAAACAAAGGCAGATAGAAATGCCATTTCGATCCCGTTGCCTACATTTCAACCATGGCAATGGCAGATTTCGACTGTGAAAAAGGGATTGACAAACGTTTTGTCGCGTAGGAATATTTCTTAGTCTGGAAACCAAAAGGGAGAAAAGAATGAAGTACAACAAACCTTTCTAAAATCGGTATAAAATAGCTCAACCCCATGCCCCGCCCAGGGATTACATTTAATGAGATGTCATTGGTCTCCTCAATCGGGAGAGACTCCTTCCAACCTTGAGCATGGGGTTGTTTGGGGTCAAACAACCCCTGAAATGAAGGCGCAGGGTTTTTACCCCAGGGGAATTATGAGAGTGAAAGTATATTTCATTAAAGACTGATTTTTTAGGATGTTGTCCTGGTGCCGCGTCTGACCATGAATGACACACCCGTGGAACACACCATTCACCCAGCTACACCCTTACATAACACCTAACCATACCCATAGATATCCATGCACCTTGAAGGAAATAAATATGTTCTAATTCACACCTGGTCGTTCAAACGAACATATTTGAATTTTCTGTGACATGAGAGAGGAATAGGGAATTGGGATTAGCATTCAATAAATGATTCAATAATGATCAGAGACTTTAAAATTATATATAATTAAATAATAATATTGACATTTGGAATTCTGAAGGACATTTACAAGTATATTCTTATAATGTAGGCCTACATACTTGCAACGATTGAAGTTGGTGGGACTGGTAACATATCTGACTGCTACAGAGTAAAGCCCCATTAATATGGCCTACGGTACGCTGCACTCCGGCTACTGGAATGTAGGGGAGCGCAACGTACCATAGGCAATAATGAGGCTAAGCTGAGTAAATTCTGGTTAAAATCACCGGTAATGATGCTAGGTTTGTTTTCATCACTTACATGGTAAAACAAAGACTGAGAGAGTGGGAGCATGTTGAGAATTTCTAAAAATTGCTATCGGGGGCCTTAACTCCAACAATAATATTTTGGCATTATTTGGTGTACCTACAAACATTGATTTAAAAATCAAAGGAGTCGTCACCTGCGACCCCACCACAGCAACTGTGAAGTTTTACCTGTTAATTACCCCGTACTTCTGTTTATTTCCTCAAGTCCTCCTGTCAATGCCACGGTTCATCAAAGTTAAATTTGGATGTAGGCCTATTTCTGATGATATTACTGCAGGGAATTGAGCCTGTGTTTTTATTTTTTATTTTTTTGTGTGTAAATAGAGAGAGGCGCAGCATTCTACTACAATGTGAGTACTGTAGTACACGAGCCCGTCCTACTTATTGCGATCTTCAGAGGGCGGTGTTTACAGAACACTTGATCGAGGGGCGGGGCCAAGACGCGCATTTCTGCTACTTGGAATCGCACGGATCAGCACTCGTCACATTCTCTCCTGACATGCTTCAACCATGGAGGAAGGACAAGCTTTTGCCGCCCACATTTCCGCGTTTCAGGATGGTAAATCTGCTCAAGCTAATCGGTAAGTAGCTTTATGGATGTTTACTATGTAATAGAGGAAAATATTTTGCATCCTGCCTCCACCTTTTCATTATTTCAGTCATTGCAAGAATGTTGCAATCGCATGAATCAGATGAATCAGCGACTGTCAGGAAATCAGATGAATCGACGGAAGCCACCTGACACCCTGCGCATAAACCATATGAGACTGGTCTGAAACTTAAAATTTCAGTGTTTTCTTTGTAAATGACTAGGTTTTTGCCCTTCAAAATTGAACATTTCTTAAAATGTTTTGCTCTTTAAGGCGGTGTGAAGTTGGTTCCTCGTTCCTCGTTTGACGTTCGACATTCAATGTTGAACAAGTAACTGTTCCATATTCGAACGTCGAATAAGTAACCGTTTGACATTCCGGGTGCACTCACCTTAACGGCAATGGAGTGCAACAGGAACAAAACACAAACTGTTTCCAATACATGTTGATTTGAAGCTTTGCATGGTGAAGTCATGAGATGTACAGTACAATAGGCTTGCGGGTACAGCATGGACTCAGTCTCTTAGAAGATGTGTGGTTATTAAAAGAACCAGTAAGTGTTGACTCGGTCAGGATACTCTTGCTGTCCTTTGGAGAGGGTGCTAGACTCAAGCACCTGAAATGAAGGCGCAGGGTTTTTACCCCAGTGG